TTTTTTTTTGTTAAGTTTAAGATGTTCTAAAGATGTTTTTAGCTGATAAAGCAGAGGCTGTTAACTTCTGAATAGCTTGATTTGATTTTCCTTAAATTTTTCTTAAATTTCTTCTAAACAGACCAAAAAAACCACTCCAAACCCACCTGAAAAAACACATTCTGTAGAAACTATGAAACATTGCTAGCATCTATATAGTCTTATAAAAAAATACTTAGTTACCTGCTCTCTATTATATCAGCACTATTTAACATCTGTATATACTTCTCCCTTGTATTCCAACGAGTCATAATAACTGCTGTAGCTGTACTGTCAAACTGAAAAATAAAGCCACAAACAAAAACTGCTCTCCAGTTCTTAGCAAGAAAAATCCAGTTGAATATGCATCACATACGTGTTGAAACGATTAAAACTGTTTTCTTAAAATCCTTGTTGAAATGGCTGTTGAATGCCAAGGCCTCTCTAACTTAAAGGCAAGTTCTAACTCATTTGGGTAGCAAGCAGGATTCCAGCCATTGCTGGCAGGCAGTTCAGTGCTCCAGCCTATATGTGCTAATGTACATATAACAGACACACGTAGAGAAACAACACAAATGTGAACCGTTATTGACCTCCTTACAAGGTCCACAGCTAAGGAAAGGATTCCTAACCACAACCACAGAAAATAATTTACTGATAGGAATTCTCATCAGTAATTCCCAAACATTAGAAAGTCTTGAATGACCAGTCCAGCCTTTTATAGTCATTTCTTATAATCTTCATCATCTACTCTCAAGCCACCTCACTTAGATTATTTTGTTTTGTAATGGAAAAAATACTGTTAGACTGATTTGTTGGTTTTTGTATGAGAAGTTTCCTGACTTTTGCATTTTTTAGATCAGATTAGTGTATGCAATAACGAAAGGCAGATCTTGGTAAATATTTCATGTCTTGACTCAGAAAGTTAAAGCATCTTAGGATTCTGAGTCACAACTTTAAAAATCTTACTGAATTACAATCTCTAGTTAAAAAAAAAAAAAAATCAGTTAAAGTTAGGAATATACAAATTTCTGTACTAGTTTAGATCTTAGGTCCAGATAAAATACTGTCATATACACAACACACCACAGTGGCTAATACAGGCAGCCTCTGGAGACAAATGTGGGGTAAGATATCTCCCGTATTAGGCTTCATCTGTATTTATGAAAATTAAAAGACTTAAAAGTGTAAGATTTAACATAAATGATTCAGAGATTTTCAAGAGGTATAATTAAAATAACCATTTTTAAATTCTGGCCTCCCCTCCCCGCCTTTTACAACCAAATCAATGTCTAAACCCTTTCTAAAACACAGCATTCTTAGCATCAGCAACCTCTTGTGGAAGCAAAATGAATTATAGCTTTTTGAAGGCAGTGTTTCTGACCCTCCCCCTCTACCCCACTTCTAACTTAATTAGATGTTTTCTTGTTCTGATGTTACGAGAACAAAAGCACATTGCTCTCTATACTATTCAATATTCCAGATTTTTATCATGCAATTTATAAGTTGTTTGCCAGCTTTCTACTTTTTGTCTAATCCCCATTCATTATGCAACCCAAATGTAATCTTTAGATCTTTTTCCACAGCAAGGTGAAGCAGTACTTTTTAGTGGACAATACAAAAGCAAACAGATTTCTTTCTAAATTACGAAGTTACCCAGGATTAATTTAACTATTAATAACAACCCTTTAAAAACCAAATGCTGCAGTAAAATTGTTGGCATTGTAGTTTCTTTGCCAAGAACAGTTTCTAATCATCCACCTATAGATAGCATCAATATAATATAGCATTAACTTACTTGAGGCCTTCCTGCTCTCCCAATCATTTGCAGAATATCAGTTTCACTGTACTCTTGGAACACTCCTCCAACATAGTGCATCGTGGATTTTATAACCACCAGGTGTGCAGGTAGATTGACTCCCATAGCTAAGGTGCTAGTAGTAACTAGATCAGATTAAAGTATATTGATTGCAAGATGAACACCATTGAAATGTCTGGCAGACATTAAACAAGCAGCAAATAAGTGGCTAATTCTGATTCCTAAGAGCTCTTATTTTCTTGTGAAGTCAGTGGGCATTCTGCACCACAAAGAATTAGACCTAGATTACAGACATGTATTTGCATAACAATTTCTGTGTATCTGATCATCAACATTCATTTACTATTGAGTATTCCTCAACAAATTACATCCCAGATACTTTTATGTAAACACTCCTTAACATTTGGAGATAATCCAGAATCCAATGCATCTTCAATATAACACACACACACACTGAAGAAACATTATGCATATTTCTTCATGGATAGATATTTTAATACAGCCATGACTTTATCTTGCTTTGTAGTAATCAATATCTTTAAGATTTTTTTTTTTAAGCCATCAGTCATTAGCATTGTTTATATCCATGGTACCAAACCAGAATCACCACCAATACTATCACAATACTTTACCAATACACACTCTCACATGGAAAACACCAGTCAAGTTTGCAGCAAATTATCTCACACGTTTTTTAATTCACTTTCTCTAACAAATATATAGGGTGGCAGGCACTGAATATGAAAAGCCAGCTATACAGGCCAACTGATACAACTATTCCACCGGGAAAACAAAGTATTAATGAATTTTCCAATTATTTTTTGAAATGAAAGGAGAACTGAAATTAGTAATTATACGTACATCAGGAAAGAAGAATCCAATCTAAACTAAAGGCATAACGATACCATCTTGTGAGAATATTGTTTTTCATATTGTGATGGTATACAAACTGGGAAATTTGTCAAAGCAAAATGACTTAACCATAAAAAAGCTGCAAAGAAAGGTTACTTACCAGTGCAATCAGATCTTCAGTCCATGTATGCGTGTGTGTGTATATACACATACGTATACACACACACACTGTGAGTATATACACATACGTATACACACACACACTGTGAGTATATGTACACTCTATTTCAAGACCAAAGAATTTTTCCCTTTGTAATATCTGTGAAAGATGTGTAAAAACTCTACCCCCCATCATGCTCACAGACATATAAAGTGGAATATGCTGCATACTCTTTCAGTTTCCTGTCAGTTGTGGAAATGTTATTCAAGAATGTCAGATGATTCTTAAATATTCACACAAACTATAAATTTCAAAGGACTTAAGTACCAATAAGCAACTTTGCATTCTTTCAGTGGTAGTCCATACATACATTCACATTGTGCTCAGCTGTGGCCCAGGCTCTCAAAGTTATTTTTGCAAAGAGCAATTGTAGAACCACGGTCTCCTCGGATTTCAGAAATGGCACCGCAGCTGGCAAAGCCATACACAGTGCACCAGGCAGCCAAAGTACAATAGATTGCACGGATACAGAGATTTTTTTAATACCATGGACATTGCAACTCTAGCAAGGTTGCCAGATCACAGTAGGGGTATCTACCTTAAATTTTCATAGAGAGTCATGACCATTGTACAGGAAAGAAAAAATTCATTAATCTTTCAGTGTTGTATATGAGCCACACAGACAATTCCCCATAGAGTCTGAATCTTTTGAGACCATCACATCTCAAACAGATACCTTCTCATTTCAGGTAACAGCAGACAGACTATTTCTTACAAACCTCCCCATCAGTCAGAACACCTTGTATGGGAGTTTGAAAATACCATCCTGCCCATCTAAGAAGCATAAATGTAAAAGATTACCTTCAGGGAAGCCATTGCTGCAAAGGATACAAACAAAGAAAACATTATGTGAACTCTGAGGAAAGACACACTAGCAGAGAGCTCCACCTCAACAGGATGGCTTAGTGGTACGAAAAGGAAATGGACATGGCCAGACCTATACAGACATTTGAGGGAGGATGACTTCTGTGTATGCTGAAAAGAAGAAAAGTTCTATGGTCTTTAGTAACAGTGCATATGTATACTCACGGGGTGAAAGTGCATGTGAAACAAACACATCTTTATCTGGATTTCACGAAGTAATTCCAAAGGTTAAACAAACTATAGAATCATAAAATATTACCACTTCCAAACTGTAATCTTCTCAGGATACATTAACAACATTTTGACTTCAAAGTTAAATTTACTTACAAAGTACTGGTAAGTCTCCTACAGTAAAAGCTCCTTCAATTATTTTTCTGTCAGATATCTCCATACCCGCATGATGATAAGCCACACCATACATTAAAAGATCTGAAAACGAAATAATTGCATCTGTCACTTGACTAAGTTTACTCAAGCAAGTATTCATTCACAGAGCAGAGAAGTAGTGGGTTGTAATTACCTCTCAGTTTGGAATCTTTCAGTGAATTTGCAGACCTCTGTAATCTATGCAATACACAAAAAAATACGAATACTTCAAAATCACAAAACAGATTCACTAATGTAAGTAGAATATACAAAGATGCAAGTATGTTTTTAAAATGCAAAAATAAAGCTTCACATGAAACTAGATACACAATTACCCCACTAAAGATTGTAAGATGTATTCCTTGACGGGCATTTTTTACATACTTTCCCATAGTTCTACTGCATTTGTGCTTTTTAAGGATGTTCTTAGTTTTCAACTACATTAGACTATCAAAAGGACATAGTCTTAAAATAACTTTTTAAATATACATCCTTTGGATATTTTCAACCATCACCTTTCCCATCTTCGCAAAGGGAACAAACGGACTCTCTGGGGCAGCTGTTGCAGCCTTTCCAGCCCAGTCATCTTTCCAAATCACAACCTACAATCTAGATGTGCTGTTCACATAAGGCAAAGATGACCATGTTTGAGGTCCAAAATCAGGAAATAGCTTCTGCAGCTGCCATGACTAGGCAACCCTTAAGTAAATAATAATTAATATGGGTTAGGGCTGTATTTATTAAAGGTATGCATATAGATATATGCAAAGATAATGCAAAGACTTCTTATGGCTTAACTTAAAACACTAGTAAGATCACATCCAATTCAACTATTCATATGCTTAATCTTTGCACTACAAGGGCTTATAGGTCCACAGGAATTAACATTTGTATATTGAGAAAGCAGCTTTTAGAAACAACTTAATGTTTGTGAAAAGTATCCTACAAATCTGAGGAGCAAATAAACTTTCCAAGAAGAGTGCCAATTTACCAAAAAGTACGTCAACTGTGATGATGATTTAGTTGCAGACATTCCTCTGCTAGAAATTGTATTAGCTCAACAGCTTTCTTCACAGATGTCACAGGTTTACTAAGACACACAAACACTTATTAACAACTCAAATATAAAAATACCTTTGTTTCTGTTCTATACTCAGTAGAAATTTAGCATCTTTTGCAAGAACAGAAGCGGCCTGCTGTACTCCTTTTCTTGTGGCACAAAACTATAAATAAGAAAAGATTTTTTTGCATCAACACTTTTAAGAAAGAAACAATTTCAAATGTGATGAAAAACAAAGCTGTTGTACCACAAGTGCTGGTTTTTGTTCCGAGTATGTTTGTATAATACTAGCTATCTTGTAGTTAAGAGTTAAGTCAAATTTGAATTCGGTCAGATTGTCACTGCAAGGAAAACCAAGAACAATTTTGCGTAGCTTCACTGGTCGTTGATCCTCATCTATTTTCAGACATACAGCAGGCATCTTACTATCTGAAAGCCATTCTGCAATCTTTAAAAAAGAAGAAATAGAATGGAAATGATAAATTTCTGCTTTTAATCATGCTCTGCTTTAACTGCATCACACAATAATTAACTTAGCTTTTGTCACCTGTAAACTATTAACACATTTGACATTGCTGTTTTCATTAAAATCATAGGTGAAGTTCTGTTTTCTATAGGACCAATATAATATGGACCGAAATCTCAAGTCTATTGTGATTTGTACTTAGAATCATAGAATCGTAGAATCAT